GAGAGAGAGAGCAAGTGAGAGCAAGCTGGAAAAAGAACAAGAAAGAGCAAGAGAGAGATAGAGATAGAGAGAGAGAGATAGAGAGAGGGAGAGAGAGAGAGTGGGGGAGATTAACAGGGAGAGAGAGAGCAAGTGAGAGCAAGCTGGAAAAAGAACAAGAAAGAGCAAGAGAGAGATAGAGATAGAGAGACCGAGAGAGCAAGAAAGGGAAAGGGAGTGCAAGAGACAGAGAGAGAGGGAGTGCAAGAGAGAGAGAGAGAGATAGAGCAAGAGTGCAAGAGGGACAGAGGGAGAGAGAGAGAGATAGAGAGAGAGAGTGAGAGAGAGAGGGAGAGAGAGAGAACGAGAGAGAGAGAGAGAGAGCTGAACAGAGCAAGTGAGTGCAAGCTAGAGAAAGAACAAGAGAGAAGAAGAGAGAGTATGGGAGAGAGCAATAGAGAGAGGGAGAGAGAGAGACGGAAAGAGAGAGTGAGATGGAGAGAGAGTGGGAGAGGGAGAGAGAGATAGACAGATAGAGTGTATGTGTGTGTGAGAGAGAGAGACAGCAGGAAAGAGCAAGGGAGTGCAAGAGAGAGAGAGGGAGAGGGAGAGAGAGAGAGAGAGAGAGAGAGAGAGAGAGGGCAAGTGAGAGCAAGCTAGAGAAAGAACAAGTAAGAGCAAGAGAGAGAAAGGGAGAGAGCAAGAGAGAGAGAGATAGAGAGAGAGAGATTGATAGGGGGAGAGAGAGGGGGAGAGAGGGAGGGAGAGAGAGAGAGAGAGCAAGGGAGTGCAAGAGATCGAGAAAGAGAGAGCGAGGGAGAGAGAGAAAGAGAGAGAGAGGGAGAGAGTAAGAAACAGCAAGGAAGTGTAAGAGAGAGAGAGAGGGAGAGAGAGGGAGAGAGAGAGAGAGAGAAAGGGAGAGAGAGAGATAGAGAGAGAGGGAGAGAGAGTGAGGTTGAGAGAGAAGGGAGAGAGTGAGAGAGAGAGAGGGAGAGAGAGTGGGAGAGAGAGAGAATGAGCAAGGGAGTGGAAGAGATAGAGAGAGGGAGAGAGAGAGTAAGAGAGAGAGAGAGAAAGAGAGCAAGTGAGAGTAAGCTAGAAAAAGAGTAAGCTAGAGAAAGAACAAGAGATAGCAAGAGAGAGCAAGGGAGAGAGGAAGAGAGAGAGAGAGAGGGAGAGGGAGAGAGAGAGAGATAGAGATAGAGAGAGAGAGAAAGAGAGAGAGAGAGAGACGGAGAGAGAGAGAGAGTGGGAGAAAGAAAGAGGAAGGGAGTACAAGAGAGAGAAAGAGAGGGGGAGAGAGAGAGAGAGCAAGTGAGACCAAGCTAGAGAAAGAACTAGAGAGAGCAAGAGAGAGCAAGTGAGAGAGAGGGAGAGCGAGATAGAGAGATAGAGAGAGTTAGAGGAGAGAGAGAGAGAGAGAGAGAGCAAGGGAGAGAGCAAGAGAGAGAGAAGGAGAAAGAGAGAGAGATAGATAAAGAGAGAGAGAGGAAGAGAGAGAGAAACTGAGAGCAAGCTAGAGAAAGAATAGGAGAGAACAAGAGAGAGCAAGGGAGAGAGCAAGAGAGAGAGAGGGAGAGAAAGAGAGAGGAATGGTGTGAGTGAGAGAGAGAGAGATAGAGAGAGAGCAAGAAAGAGCAAGGGAGTGCAAGAGAGAGAGAGAGAGTGTGAGAAAGTGAGAGCAAGCTAGAGAAAGAATAAGAAAGAGCAAGAGAGAACAGAGGAGAGAGGAAGAGAGAGGTAGAGATAGAGAGAGCTGAATATCTGCATTTGCATTAATAAGGAAGTAAAAAAACTAGTTACAATAAGAAATCAAGTAACTATCTATACCCTATCGCTATCCTCCGTCAACAAAGACAAAAGTGTTGAAGCGAACTCATCATTATTCACATCATAAAATGAAAAATTACCAAAAAGTGCTAAATGAGCACAGAAGTCTACAGGCCTATTGCTGTCACGTGGTATATACTGAAATGGAGCCTATTTAAACTCCATGAGAAATGAAAGGTCCGGACCCTCCTTCATGAAATGAACCTTGCTCCGCCTATCATTCAATTGCTGAAGCCATTGAATTGCAGTAATACAATCACCCTCAATAATAATCCTATCCAGATCAAACATCCAATCCTCAATCATATCACGAATTGTTGCAGCCAACAACATCTCAGCTTGTAAAATGTCCCAATGTTCACATTTCTTCCCTCTCGCCCCAATCAGTGCTCCAACATGATTACGCACGATAATGCCAAGCCCAACCTGGTAAGAAGGCAATAAAGAAGCATCCACATTAAATTTTAGCCAACCTGGAGGGGGGGGGGCACCACAATTTGTGAGAGGGCAGCCCAATAGGCTGGGAGGCACTCCATTGCTCCAGAATTGGTGATCTATACGGCTTCGATAGAAGGGAAAGAACCATAGCAGCAATAATCGAGGGGGATCGAAATGAACGACCCTACTTCATATCATTCCTAGCACGCCATAGGTGATAAACAGAGTATCAATAAATCCATCCCAGCACATGATTACTACGCGAACAGGAAGCCAGCTTCAACAAAAGTTCTTCAAAAGAATTCATAACAGGCATAAAAAAAACCCCATTTACCAAGAACACCATGCACCTGTTTCAACTTAGTACATTGCGTAGTACAACGATCCTCATCTTCATCAATTCCACAACCCCACGGGCAAAGGGAGGAATCAGCCAATCCTCTTCGAAACAACCAAGAACGGGTTGGAATAGCCTTCCTTAGCAGTCTCCACTAGAAGAACTTCTCACGTCGATGCAATTTCAGCATATCCAACCACAGAAACTTATATTCCCCTTCACCAACCATCGCCCGATACTCCATTGCAGTGATTGTCATGTTCATCCGAGAATAACAGAGCTCTGGCCGATCAACTCCCAAACAAAGATTGCTCTGAATATTTTGGATCCTCTGGGACATTATTAGTCCGAACCATTCTTCTACCAACTCGAGATTCCACTGCAAAGACTGGTCCAGTAAACAACTGATTTTTGCATTGTCCACTGTCTCCACATTAACAAACGTAGGCCATTGAGAAATTGACCTGTCCAATATCCAAGTATCATTAAGTACATCAATCAATTGGCCATTCCCAATTTTCCACCTGAGAATGGGCCTAAGAGCACAAGCCCCATCCTGAATAACATTCAAGGTGAAAGAAACCTTCCTTCCTTGAGGGCTATCCCACATATCCATACCATATTTAGCAAAAAGCAGTTTCTACAACAGGGATCCAGAATTCTGAAGAAAATCCCATGCCAGCCGAGCTCGAAGAGCTCCTTGCCATTTCACCGAACTATAAAATCCCATTCCCCCATGCGACCTAGGTTGACAAAGCTCCTTCCAAGCTACATAGTGCATCCCTCTATTATTATTGTCCTTCTGCCACAGGAACCTCCTTGCAATCTTCTCAATATCATTAAGAACACCATGAGGAACCGCAGTATGGGTAACTAGATACATTGGAATAGGAAGTAGAGCAGTCCTTATCAAAAGAGCTCTACCAGCATAGGATAAATGTTTCTTCCCCCACAAATTTGTCTTGTTCTGTGCACTTCTGATTAAATTACCAAAATTCGCCGCAACAGGCTTCCTCATCATCAAAGGTAATCCAAGGTACTCAAGAGAGTCCACCTTTCTATATCCCATGAGTTTAGCAATCATTCTCTTCTTCCAAGCAGGGCACTTCCTATTGAATAAAATGGCAGATTTACTACCATTAACTTGCTGACCCGTCCAGCCACAATAATCTCCCAACAGACGAGTGATCTTACTAGCATTGCTTCGGGTGGCCTCAGCAAATATCAAGATATCGTCAGCATACAATAAATGTGAAATCCCGTCGGCATTTCTAACGTGCTCAATACTAAGCTGCCCACCTCTCTGCCGAAACACTTTAGTCAGAAGTTACGAACTGAGAATAAATAGATACGGCGACAACGGACAGCCCTGCCTTAGCCCACTTCTAGCATTAATCCATTGGGTACGAATCCCATTAATCAGGATCGTAAATTTTGGCCAAGTAATACATTGGATCACCCAACAGATATGAATCCCATTTGTCTCATAACTCTTTCCAAAGTATCCCAAGACATACAATCGTATGCTTGTTCCATGTCCAACTTCAGCGCCATGAAACAAGATTTTTGAGCTGAAAACTTGAACTTACTTATTATCTCTTGAGCCACCAACCCATGAGTAGAAATAGACCTTCCTGGAACAAAAGCCCCTTGTTCTTCACTGATAATAATACCCAAGATTGGTTTAAGCCGATTAATCAACACCTTCGCAACCACCTTATAAAATGATTGACAAAGACTGATTGGCCTAAACTTTGAAGGCATATTGGCATGATCATTCTTGGGAACAAGAACAACCAACATGTTCTTCCAACTTTCACACATAGAATTAGTGGTAAAAAAATGAAGAATAGCACGGGTAACATCAACTTTGATTATTTCCCAGTAAAATTTTAAAAAGGATGAAGTGATACCGTCGATACCAGGTGCACGATTGTTCCCCAGGCCGAAAACTACATTACGACCTTCCAATTCTGTAACCTCCGCCTCCAGCATAGTATTCAAATCATCTGAGACCATATCACAGTTCAAAAAATTCGGCCAATCACTCATAGAAACCTGCCGCTCCTTCTACTTCAACATAAAGAACCTCCAGAATTCATCTTGAATAAGATTCTGATCAGAAATCACATCCCCATTGGCATTTTGAATTTGCACAATTATGTTCCCCCTTCTACGAGCAGAAGCACTCGAATGGAAGAAGTGAGAATTGGCATCTCCCTCTTCAATCCATTTAGTCTTTGCTCTCTGTCTCCACCGAGTAGCCAAACGAGATAAAGTCACATTCAGTTCAACAATCTTCTGCCGCAGCTCCTATTGATGGTCATCAGACAACCCAGCCTCAGAACACTCCAGCAATTGAAGTTCTTCAATCCGACCCTCCAGCAAAGTTTTCAAATCTCCCAGCTCCTTTAAACGGTTACGACTCCAAAAAAACAAGGCCTTAAGCGTTCTGGAGCATTTGCGATTCAACACTTCATCTGGTCTTCCATAATCTTGTTTAGTCCAGTTCTTCCAAACCAGCACGTGATTGGATACGTCATCCATATATCTTCAAACCTCCGCCATCTGCTTCCAGAGTTCAAAGTAGAGGGAGCAAAATTAAGCAGTAACGAGCAGTGATCAGAAGCAATTTGAAGAAGGTGCTTAACTGTAACCAACCGTGCCAGCCTCAACCCTTCCGAATTCATCAAAACCCTGTCTAGCCTCACCCAGATTTTACTATTACCATTCTTATTATTAGACCAAGTATACTTTGGTCCAATAAACCCCATATCATACAAATCATTATCCACCATGAAAGCAGTCATTTCCCTCGCTCCAGCCGCATAAAAAAATCTTCTACCACCTTTTTTCTCACTTTGATCTAAACAATAATTAAAATCCCCACCAATTCTCACAGGAAGATCTGTACTAATAATCGAACCAATAGAATTCCATAACAGCCGACGGGTGTGATAATTTTGATTGGCATAAACAATGCCAACAAGCCACCTCTGTCGATTGGGTAACATCAAATGGCTAGCCACTGCCTGATCCATCGTAAAACAAACTTCAAACTGTGTAACATCCCTTCTCCACAAAGCAAGCAAACCCTCCAATTTACCCACAGCAGGAAAATGGAAGTATTCCCAATTACCGCCAATGAGTCTATCAACCTCACTTCTGCTAATGTCCTCAATCATTGTTTCCACCAACCCAACAAAATAGACCTCATTGCCGCCAATGAGGCTACGCAGGTAGTAACCCGTCTTCTTCTTGCTGGCACCCCTGCAATTCAAAAAAATAATAGAAGACATTAATTAACCAATGGGGAAGCGTCCCCTCCGACAAAATCCACTACATCCTCCTTTTTCCTCTTCCTTGGGAGTTCATCCGTTGGTCCCAGCTGACTCAGCTCCTTCCTAGACATAGAGCTACTTGCCTTAAATAAAGGACCTCTAATACCTGCCGTAAATGGCAAAGGCTTCTTAAAGCCCATCTTAATTTGTTTGTGAGTCAGCTTTATATGTGTTTGGGGCTCCTTCACTTTACTCAAATCCACCTGCTTGGGGATAGTCACCTTTTGAGTATTTTAATTATTTCCATTACTCCTAACCTGAGGACGAACATTCCATCGTCTACGTGGAGGAACCTGGATCCAAGGTCCCAACTGATCATCATCATCCTCTTGCGAGCTTCCATCCCTTTCCGGGTTCCTATCTCTTTTATCCTGCTGACCAACATCAGTCTTCACTACACCATTGTTCCCAGTTTGCTTCGGCTGACTTCCCCCTTCCATTTTAATAATAAGAGGAGTAACCGTCTTAATATGCCCTGATTCAACTTTCCCCATTCCACCCGAGACTTGTTTGGGATTATCAACCATCATACCACCCTGTCTCAATTGAGTTCCTGTAGACTTGTTCAATATTTCAGCTGGCTTAACAATCTTTGTTGGACATTGATCCCTACGATGTCCAATGCTACCACATCCATAGCACATTATACCGATCCCCTCATACTCTACCTTCTGGTAGAACCTATCATTCCACCCATTCACCTAAACTCCATCCAGCAACTTATTAGCCAAGTTCATACGAACACAAACACGAGCATACTCCCTTCTTCCCCAGTTTCCTATCTACGCGTCTATCCAAAGCGGGACACCAATCCTCGTAGCAATTCTAGCGATATTTCATTCATCCCAATACTGTAACGGGAGGTTAGGCAATCTAATCCATACCGGGGAAGTCAATCCCTCCATGGATGACGGGGAGAACGAAGGTGTCCACCTATCCAAGCCAACAAGATTTCCTCCAATAAACCAGGGACGACCACACAAGACAGCATCCCTAGCTTTCATAGAAGTAAAAACACAAATGAAGCAATTAGAGCCCAATGTAGTGAGCTGAAATTCACCATATCTACCCCACTGGCACTGAATCTCTGACTTCAACAAATAAAAGGAAGTCCTTCTGCCCAATATCTTCCCTACAATAGCTTGATCTAGCATCTCCATATTGGTCTTAACTCATTCCAAATTTAAATCAATAGAGTTCCCATCCCCTGATATTTCACAAAGCTTTTTTGGATGCAGTATTGGATATGTTCTGGCTTCCTCCATGGGTTTCCACCCCCAGCTGAGAATATGCTTCCTTGAACCGTGCTCTTCCCCTTTAACAGGCCCATATCAACACTAGTCGGCCTCAATTCGACATTTCCACAACCAGCTTGAGTGCTACTAGACGGTATGTTCAAACCAGCGGGACTGATTCCCATTACCTTCCTTCCAACTTCATCCGCTACAGCAATATCCATCTCCGATTGCTGACTACGTTCATTACTGGTAGCATTTATCAGCTCATCCTTACTCCAGCTGTGTAGATCTGAACTTACCTCCAACAGGCAAGTTCGTCGCGGCAAAGCCGCATCAACATCAAAAATTTACTATGGTTCAGATCTGCACTCAACTGCAGGATCAATCTCTTCTACTTCCTTCCCAGATTCCATGACATTAATCATCATATTAAGCATTTCACCGATCTGATCACATCCCGTCTCACACATACCTTCCATCTCAACTTCCCAATCCTGAGTAGCAGCATTGTCTTCCACTTCCATCAACGCATCACCAGCTTGGAACGTCGGATTGTGAATCAGCTTCACCTCCTCACTCGCCTTCACAGCAGGAACATTGCCTCCCTTCACTGACAGCTGCATCATTTTGGATTCCAGGCTACGAGGCTTTGCCTCCCACCTTCCCTCCAAAGCTCCATTAGATCCAGATCTACCAGCATCACGAGATTTCCCTTTACCTTATTCGTCACAATTTTTCCAGGAGACCGATCCCCAGATTTCTTTGCACCTCCAGATCCTACTCCCGATCGCCTTCTCTCATCACCGCCAGATCCTACTTCTGATTGTCTTCTATCGTCACCACCGCCCCCGCTTGAGCGGGGAGGGGGAGACCTTCGGTCACCCCCTGCCATGCCCAGAGATTCTCTCACTACAAGTCACCAAGTGAGAGAAACAGTTAGGCGGAAATGACGCATTCGA